GAAAAGCCATTTCTCTCAGTTTGAGAGACAACAGTGGTAAAGAATTATTATCCTTCTCTCTCTCTCCCTCTGACCCTCCTCCCTGCTTGTGCTCTATCTCAAATAGATAAAAATTTTTATAAAAGTGGGGGGCGCTTGGGTGGCAGCTGCCTTCGGCTCAGATCATGATCCTGGAGTCCTGGGATGGAGTTCTGCGTCAGGCTCCTTGCTCAGTGCGGAGTCTGCTTCTCCCTCTGACCCTCCCCCCTCTCACACACTCTCTCTCTCAAATAAACAAATAAAATCTTAAAAAAAAAAATAAAGCTAACAGCCTAAATGTCCATCAGCAGAGTAATGAACACAGAAGCTGTGGTAATACTCGGTGAATATTACACAACAGTGAAAATAATGACTAAGAACCTCACACTCAACAGGAATAATGCAAACAAATAATATGAGTTATGGAACAACTTCCCCAATATGACCAATTTATGTAACATTTAAAAACACAAAACAACAGGAGCATCTGGGTGGCTCTGTCAGTTAACTGTTTCTGCCTTTGGCTCAGGTCATGATCTCAGGGCCCTGCATCGGGCTCCCTACTCAGCAGGGAGTCTGCTTCTCCCTCTCCCCCTGCTCCTCCCCTGCTCATGCTCTGGCACTCTCTCTCTCTCTCTCACTCTCAAATAAAAATATTTGGGGAAAAAAACAACCCACCACACACACAAAACAACACAGACAGTCCTTGTTATTGGAATGCAGTCTGTTCCTAAATGTGTGTTACAGTGTGAATTTTCAGGTAGCTGAGTCTACATTACATCATTCAAAAATAGGAAAAATCACATGTTCCTAGCTCACCCAAAACTCCAAACGGTATTTTTTCCCAAGTTATTATCTACATAATAACCTGCCAAGAATTTCTATAAAATGGACAGCATCTAAAATACAGTGACTTACTTTTACCCTGAGACAACAGAAGTGCTCTCGCGTGTGTGATGACTCAGTGATGTGGGACAATATGGAGTCCATCATGGTCCCAGGTGGGCCATCCCTTGTCTCCATGAGCTTTAGCACTCCTACAAGTTCTGCAAATGCAGGGACATCTGTGGGCCTCCTTTACTCACCTACTTTATTCACAGGTTTTTCTACATGTCTCAGGACATTTTCATCGGTAACGTGGGGAAGATGACAAGAGATATTGCACAACATATTTAACAACTCAAGACGACAGGAGACTGGGTCCTATCAGGGAAAGAGCAGAAGCACGGCGGAAATGCACTCTACAGTCTCCCCCTGGACTCGTGCCCAGCTGAGAACATGAGTGCTGTACACATGACAATTTATCAAGGTGGCTTTTGATTCAGACAGTTAAATCTCACAAGCATTCCTGAAAATCGTCACAGCAAATAGTGAGCCTGCAAACAGTGAGGGATACTTACTATATGGATACTATATGGATACAATTCACAGTCAAAGCATAAAAGTACAGAAAGAGACAATTTCAGGATAATGATTATCTCTGGGGAAGGGGTGAGAGAAAAAAATCAAGAAGGGACACTAAAGGGAGCTTTAGTTATCTTTTTATTTTTAAAAAGTGACATATATGGGGTGAGATATTAACAGTAAAAATATGGGATCACGGGTACATTATTTTCTGTACCTTTTCATAAAATATGAAGGACCAATAATGTTCTTCACCTGTCTGATGCATGCGAGAAGCCTGTCAGCATGAAGCAGCCCACAGATTCACAGGAATCTTGAGTTCGATACTGAATCAGAATCTGAATTTGATTTTAGGGCAAGAGAACCAGTGTGTCTATGTTTTTTTGTGTCACCCTAACACCCTTCACAAGTCTGCTTCCCATCAGAACTGCCATCCTGTGCACCTCTACCCTTCCCCACAACCCCTCTGCCTACACTACTATGCTCAGGCCACAGTGGTCTCCTTGCTGGTCCTGAACAGAGTGGCCTCCCTCCCTAGGCCTTTTTATTCCTGGATTTTCAGGGCCAAGTCCTCACCTTCTTCATATTCTTGCTAAAGTCTTATCTTCTCAGCGACCGTTTTGTTTAAAATTGTAAACTGGTTCCCCAGAACCCCTGGTCACCCACCTTCCCTACTTCCCTTTCTCCCGGGGTACTTATTTTCTAGCACACTGTATAATTTACTTCCTGTACTAGAAACCCCATTATGCAAAAAGTTTGGGGTTTTTCATCCTTGATGCATCAGGAGTGTCTAGTGATAGCACCTAGCACACAGAAGGCGGATATTTGGCAAAGTGATTAGTAAAATTTCAATTTTTCAATGTTACAGTACTCTCCAGGACTGATACAACAAGACTCTATCCTCTGCATCTTGAGCACTCCCCAAGTATATATACTCCTCTCAAATCATCTGCTTGTATGCCCATTTCTTGTGGATTCTGATTCAGAGTCTAACAAGGAGTGAGATACTCAGTGTGTGTGGAATGAATGAAATTCAATGTCTTGAACATATAAGTTTCTCTCAGGGCAGGCCACTTCTACTACAAACTCACACCCAGGTAAATTAATTGCAGGTACCTATTTTTAAAGGTCACCTTAAGGCACAAAGGGCTGTGGCTTGATTCACACTTTCTTTCTACTACAAGAACAGTAAGAAGATGCATTTTATGATGCCATAAAAATAAGCATTACCTCACACACTCAAATATAAAAGAAATCAGGTCAAATGTAATTAAGATCAGGTAACCAGATTCAAGAAAGATGGTACTTCTCTCTACTTTGGGTTACTTTTTTTTTTTTTTTAAGACTTTTATTTATTTATTTGACAGAGGAAGAGAGAGCACAAGTAGGCAGAGAGGCAGACAGAGAGAGAGGGGGGAAGCAGACTCCCTGCTGAGCAGAGAGCCTGATGCAGGGGCTTGATCCCAGGACCCTGAAATCATGACCTGAGCGGAAGGCAGAGGCTTAACCCACTGAGCTACCCAGGTGCCCCTTGGGTTACATTTTTATTATCCTCTATTTTGGCAGAGAAGCAATGTGGCAAAAAGGAAGTTTGCCTATACTAATTAAAAGTTTCAGAGAGCAAATTTTAAAATATATAAAAGCTGGTAGTGGCAAATTGTGAAAATGGCCACAAATTCTTGGACCCACTTCCCATTTGATGCAGAGTCTGATTTCCCACGCCCTACAGTCTGGACTGGCCTCAGTGAGCCGCTTGTTAACAACAGATCAGCCAAGGTCATGGGGTTTCATCAGGTTCTTAGGGAACGCTTGCTCTGAAGCACCCCCCTCTGGATCCCCAGTCACCATGCGACAAGGAGCCCATGCCTCACAGGGAGGTCACATGAAGGTGCTCTGGTCAATGGCCTCAGCTGAGCCCAGTGTTCAAGTCACTTCGGCCCAAGTGACATGGAGGGAAGAAGCTTCCAGATGATCCCAGCCTGGGGCTTGGGTCTTCCCCGGCAGCTCCAGCCCCAGATATTTCGGAGCAAAGACAAGCCATCCCTGCTGTGCCCTGACCGAATTCCTGACCTGCAGAATCTGTGAGCACAATCCGATGGCTGTTGTTTCGCACCACTAAGCTTCGGGGGTGGTCAGAGAGGCAATAAATAAACTGGAAAATGAGTGCTAACCCAAAGCCTGTAACTAATTACCACATTTCATTTTCTCACCACCGGCAGAGCCTAGATTTCACTACTTAGTACAGATAAGTCATTCATGCAGAGGTCACACATCACACAGATCCACATTCTAGGACAGGGCAAAGAAATTATCCAAAATGAACTCTGACAGCTATTAGCCATTCATTTTAGTTACCTGTCTGTATGCTGAATCAATAAGGTTGATGCACTTATGTGAAGTAACTAGATAATTGCTAGCTATATAAATATATATCTCAGATCAAAACACACTACTTCTACGAACACCATGAGGAAGAAGGGATGGTAACGTAGCTAATGTTAAGAGGGGGTTACTCCCCAGACTCCATGCTGTGCTCACAACATGAATGAACTATTTTCTTCTCCAAGGAATCAATTCATGAGACTGAAAATTATCAACACGCTGAAAATCTATTTCCAAAAATCTCTCGCTAGAGATAATAAGGATATACTACAGATCAGAAAAAAAAAAAAAAAAACTGGGAAAAAACTCCGATTTAAGAAAACAGGTTTGCATCAATCAAAATCAGACTACTTCCTTCTTGTTTTACAATGCAAATCAAATGAATCTTAAAATATTATATAAATGAAAAGTAGAGAGCTCAAGGCTGATAGTGTAAAATCTTTTACAAGAATAAAACTCATTTTAGAAGCATTTAAAAAGCAAGTAAAATTAATGAACGTCTCATACAATGGAAATACTTTTAGAAGTGAAAAAAACAAAACAAAACAAAAATCACAATTGTTCTAACTTTTCTGCAATCAACACTGCCCTCTAGTGGTGCAGAATAAAAGTAAAAGAGAAAGCAAGTGTCCCATTTTATTCATTGTTCATTTCAGTGTGTTCATGTCAACGCTCCTAGTTTGGACTACAAATTCCACCAAAGACAGAATAAACACATTCAGGATGCCTTTTATTACCTATTGTTCAATTAGAAACTCTTTCGAAAGGCAATGAATCAAGGACATTAATACATGCAAAGAGCAGCTTTTAAATACTACAGGAATGAAACATCGTTACACACAGTCAGTTACATCTTCATATAAAATTGTGCAACTCAGAAAAAAAAATTGTGCAACTCAGGAAAGACCCTGCAGCTTATCACTGAAGACTTATGAAGACAGTAAGACAGTAAGGTTAAAGCGTTACCATCTATAGACAAGAAAGTTCAACAGGAAGCAAGCCAGCCTAGTTCTCCTGGCACATGTGTATCAAACATGCTGCAAAGTGTCCGTAGCAACCAAGGCCTCACCCACCTGCCAGTTCAGCCCATCCATATACCCGACTCCTCATTTTAGAGAAAAAGTTCAAGGAAAAGGGCTCGTTTGACTGCTAAGCATTTATGGAGCAGAGGAAATCTTCCAAGAAAACAGACTTACCAAGGGTCGTGCCATCCTGCCCCATGATGCACTTCATAGAGGTGACGATCTGTTCCACGACCGGTGGCGACAGTGACGTGGCATACACGGCACTGTGAGAATGTGTCCGCAGATAGTCTATCAGCTCCTGGGGAGTTCACAGAAGCGAGGCATTAGAGGGGAAACCTCAGTTCTCCACAATGTCACTGCCAGCCTTCCAGGTAAAAGCAGATTCCTCCTCCCTCAACAGCCCGGGAAGAGGGCCGCTCATCTGAGATGCAAGGTATCTGCCGTGGTCAGAGGACACGCTCAGCGACAACTGTGTCTGACACATGCCAATACCCTCACTCGGGCTGTTTGTTTTTTAAACAGGCCACAACTTGAAAGAAAGAAAAACTAGCTTCAAAGAAGCCCTCTAAATTTGGAGAACATCTCACTTAATGTTATGAATAGATCTACAACGCTGAATTAAAGTGCTTGGACTGCTTTTGAGAAATTCCCTGGGTCTTTCATGAGAACAGGAAAGCCAGCTCACTGAACGAAGAAAAACTTTGTATGTCACTTGCAAGGAGTCCAAAACAATCAGTGGTATATCCCTATTCTCTCCTTTTAACTTCACTAACTCTTTCAATAAAACAGGCACACAGGGACGCCTGGGTGGCTCAGTTGGTTAAGCAGCTGCCTTCGGCTCAGGTCATGATCCCAGCGTCCTGGGATCGAGTCCCACATCGGGCTCCTTGCTCGGCAGGGAGCCTGCTTCTCCCTCTGCCTCTGCCTGCCATTCTGTCTGCTTGTGCTTGCTCTCTCTCCCTCTCTCTCTGACAAATAAATAAAATCTTTAAAAAAAAAAACAAAAACAAAAAAAAACAGGCACACAAAATAGCTCACGTACCAGACCCCAACAAGGAAACACAAAATATGACTATAAAAGAGTGCATCACTTCAAAAACACTAAAAACTGTATAAAAGCCACAAAACCACAGATATACCAGACAAAAATGATGTCCCAGAGTATTATTCTAAGTCCTCTGGTTTAGCAGTAAATCTCACCAAAAAGCAAACAACTCTCCAAAGTCAGCCTGGTCCCATTAACAAAAATTTGAGGTAAAAAAATCTATCAAACTTGACTGAAACCAATAATGAGTTTTCCCTAAAGACAATCATGACTAAGAGAAAGTCCATGCTTTAAGCTTCCCTAATGTCAAGTTTTAAAAAGGAATTAAAGATACTTATGAGTTCCTACTATATGCCACAAAACACTGGACAATGTATTTTTATTAATACTCTGGAGTATTTTTTGACAATAAGTTTTATTGAGATATAATTCACTTTTCTGAAGTGTACAGTTCAGTGACTTTAGTATGTTCACAGAGCTGTGCAACTTTCATCACTATGAAAATATTTATTTAGTTAGTTAGTTAGCTATTTTGTTTTTAAGTAGGCTCCACACCCAACATGGGATTTGAACTCATGACCTCAGGATCAAGAGTCGTATGCTCTACCAACTGGGCCAGCCAGGCACCCCACTATCTAATTTTAGAACATTTCATTAACTCAGAAAGAAAACCTCATCCCCACCTGCAGTCACCTTCCACTCACCTTTTCCCCTCAGCCCTTGGCAACTACTAATCTACATTCTAATTTACCTGTTCTGGATATATCACATAAAATAAATAATATGTGACCTTTTGCGACTGACTTCTTTAAATTAACACAATGCTTTCAAGTTCATCCATGTCGTAGCATGGACATACACTATTTTTTCAACCTTTACTACAAGTTTATAAGCTAGGTATATTTATCTCTGTTTTACTGATAAGAAAATGGGAAGGTTAATAAATGCTTTGCCCCAGGGCTCACAATGTTAGGGAAATATTCAAACCTAGGCCTCTGTCTCAGGGTTCAACAATTTCCACCACACCATACTGATTCTCAAATGCCTCAGAGTTCATTACACAATTTTTAAATTGAAAACTACAATGCCTTCTAGTAAACCAGATCATGCAAAATAATCTTTTCCTTCCTGTCTCTATGCTCACCCAAGATGCCTTTGAGGCCAAGGGCGGGGAAACCGGTCTTCTGTTCCCAATGGCTCTCAGAAACTCACTACTTTTGGGAAACTGCGGGTGCAAGTCAAACCCAGAAGAAGACTGGCAAACAGGCAGCACCACTGCACGTCCTTTCACACAAGAGGGTGTTCTGTATGTCAGATCAGCATGTCGTTTAGGACAAAGCTCAAATAAGAAAACAACAAACAATGAACAGAACCAGCCTTTAGTTGTTCAGAATCTCTCACTGAGCAGCTGAAGTGTGAAGCCCGCTGGCAGTGTGAGCCGAAACCACAAACAAATTCAGGATCTCCACATCCCAGTTCGGGATGCTTATCTGCTCCATGTGAGTCACCAAATGTGGTAGCCAGAAGCACCTGCACCCTTAGCTGCTCAATCCGCAGGGCCCGCTTACCTTCTTCCCCCCGATGTAGCCTCCAGAAGCCCCAAAGCTCTTCGTGAATGTCCCCATCATAACATCCACATCCTGAGGATCCAGGCCAAAGTAATCCACCACGCCTCGGCCTGTAGGGCCCAGGGCGCCAATGCTGTGAGCTTCATCTAGGTACAAATATGCCTTGTATTTCTTCTTAAGGGCAATCACTTCAGGAAGGCGAACAATAGATCCCTCCATGCTGGCAAAATGGATACAAAACACACACACTGAGTCTTTTTAACTCAAAATTAGGAGTTGGCCACCTTAGTATTACTATTCCTTTTTCCAACTTTTTTGTTGCTTTTTTAAATGGTTTGACAACTCTGCCTGTGATTTTAAAATGGCAAAGTCAGATGATGCCACAGCTAGGCAGATGTCTAGGGGAAAGGAAACTGGATCTTTTCAAACAAGCACCAGAACAGAATTGATCTTCATTCGCCACAGATGGATACAGGTCACAGAAGAGGCTTCTAACACTTGCAGTTACAGGCAACATGAGATTTTGCATTACACTGCAGATGAAATTAAAATGGCAGAATAAGAGAATAAAAAAGATAGGACATAAGAGAGTAAGGGCTGCAAATAAACCAGAATAAAATGTCTTAAAAGGACATGATGTAGAATTTGTTTTGACACATTAGAAAACATATTCCAGTTCTTGCCTATATGTACACAAACAGGAGAAAAATAAAGGATGCAAAAAAGAAAGGGGATTTGAAGACCATCAGCATGATGGAAAGAATAAGGAAAATCCAGACAAAAAGACTTCGGTGCTAGTGCTAACTCTGCTTCCAGGTATTTTATTATCAAATCATCAACACTGCCTCCTTAGTGTCCAGAGCGGTCCTGATTACAGTTCCCTTCTGCTTAAAATATTCTACAACTTCCTGGAGCCAAATCAGAAAGATAAGAATAAGAAAGCAGGATTACCTATATATTCCCTCCACAAGGATTAGAATTTTCTTCCAGGGCCTTCTTGTCCGAGGCTGACCATAAACAATGGCATCTTTCAAAAGCTTCTCTAGGCTTTGCATATCTGTAGCACACAAAACAGAATTTCAGCACAAAGTACCTTTCTCTTTCTGAGCTTTATTTCAGAAATGCAAATACACATTTCTTATTCAGGAAGTGTGTCTCAGACAGCGAAGGACATTAACATAATCCCAACTGAGCAGAAAAAGATAAGGCAAAATGGGTGATCTCCTGCTAGCCTGAATGACAATCTCATCTAAAAGGTAATGAATGTTCACAACCACAGAAATTCCACTAAATGACTGTGGCACAGGTGGTTCCGTTGGGTAGCATGCCTGTGAAATGACCGATGTTTCGTGTTAAAGACCTGGCTGTTCACTTTTTTTTTGTATTTGTGGAAATCAACTGTATCTTTAATCCTAGTGACTCATTCAGAAATACATGCATAAAGAAGACTGACCAAGAGTGCAAATAAACAAATGCATACACCTCCTAAAATGCAAATACAGGGGAAAATTCAAAGTACACGCCCTGCTTCCTTTCACCTAGGATACTCTCAATAAACACTTGCTGAACAGCTTTCTCTTAGCGGTGGGCTCAAAGTACATCAGTCTGGGCATGCATGAGATCACGTGCTAAGAACTCGTGGCCATCAGATGAGACTGTTCCATGTCTGACTTGATCAGCTCTCCTGGTCCTAAGGACGGTTACCAAGCCCAGAAAACAGCCTGTCCTGTGCTACAACTGAGCATTGTAATTCTCCTGTTACCGATAAAGGCTGTGAAGACCACTGCCACCACTACAGTAGGCTTCATACTGAAAATGTCAGCCCTGCAATAATGGCCTTAAGGACCTCTGCCCCCAGATCTATGCCATATTAAGTCTGGGGTACATTTAACAGGGGTGGGAGGCACCCCATCATAAAATGTGATTTTATATTCTCTACTGCTCAGGACTGAAGGAGGGGGTTACAAAGTTATATGATTTTGCTCTTCCCATGAAAGGACTTTGGTTAGGAAACAGAAGTAAGGCAATACAAACACATACCACAAGTAAGATGGCCAAAGGTTGTGACTGTACTTATACCTTCAGTCACTCATAACAGCACAATATGCTACCTAACCCAGAGAGGGGATGCGACCCCAGAAAATACTATGAAGCTGCTATGTCTGCTGCAGACACCAATGTGTGGCGACCAGCAGGAGACAAATAAAAATGCCCTCATTGTTTCAGTTTCCTCTGTTTATAGACAGAAAGGAAGAGAAAAATACTGACTCCAAATTTTAGATGAAAGGAAGTACCTATAGTAGAATGCTTGACCGTATCACCTACTTAGGAAAAAGATTCAATTATCTCTCTTGTATTATGCTCCCTAAATTCCATGCAAATTGAAGACTTAAATAAAAAAATGTATCACAAAAAAACACAAAAAGAAAATATAAGAGAATAACTTTATGATCTGAAAACAGGGAAGGCATTATGCAAACTCTAAAACTTGTAAGACAATAAATGTGCCAACATCAACATTTTAATAAATCTACCAGCAATACACTAAAAACAAAGTTAAAAATGAAATAAAAATACTGCAACACAGAAGAAAGAATAATTAATATAAAGGGCTCTTATACTCAGTGGAAAACAGAAACAATTTGAAAATGGCCAATTCACAAAGAAATACAAACACAATTAACTGTATAAAAAAGTTGTTTAGCATCTAATAATCAAAGAAATAGAAATTAACATGTTATTGACTGATTCTATTAGAAAATATTTTAATTATGGACACTGGGGAGGATATGTGCTATGGTGAGTGCTGTGAAATGTGTAAATCTGATGATTCACAGACCTGTACCCCTGGGGCAAATCATACATGATATGTTAATAAAAATAATTACCAAAAAAAAAAAAAAAAGAAAATATTTTAAGTGATTCGTAATGTCCTACGTCGGCCTGTGAGTACAGTCACTGTCATGTTGCCGAGTAAAAATCTGCATCATCCTTGGAGGCAATTTGGAAAAGTCTAAAAATTTTATAACCTTTTAACCAGGCATCCTAAGACTACTAGGAATTTATCTTAAGCCATTAATCAGATCACTGAGCAAAAATGTGAGTAGGTAGTACTGTTTTTAGTAGAAAAACTGAGAAACAACCTTGATGTCCAAACTGAGGGATGACTGAACGCGGGTAACTCCACCCGCCACCCTGGCATTAGGGGAGGAGGCGAGTCCCATGGAGTCAAACGAAGTTCATGATGTGTTGTAAGCAAGGAGGTTACACAACTGTGTCTAATAATGACACACACTTCATAAAACAAAATTTTGTTTGTATCATCCTCATTATAAAACATCTTAGATAAGACAAAGACAGAAGGAAGAAAGTTATTAGCATGCATAAGCCTTCCATCCAGAGTACAGATCTCATACTTGGGTGTTTATTCTTCCAGACTTTTGTCTGTATGTGTACACATTTTGCAAAAAAAAAAAAAAATGGTATTAGGCGTACAGTTTGGTAATCTTTCCTTCCTACACGTGAGTATTTTAACTACAAAAGTTACTTTTTTATTGTTAATCGTTATTTTGCTAATACACCAGACACTTCCACTTAGGGAGAACGTTCTGGCGGTGCTATCTTCCTCCATGCCTCTACAGCATCTGCTCACATCTGTAGTCCAGCATCTGTTCTGTAGCAGTAGTATTTCAATAGTGGTTTCTCTATAGTCTCTTCACTAACAAGCTGGAGATCCTTAAGATGAGACCCTGCTTTACTCATCTCAGTAGCCCGGGTGCTACAGAAAGATACACCATAGGCATCTAGTAAACGCACACAGAACGAGTGACTTGTAAACGAGGAATATGAAAGAGTTGAAAGTTAAGTAAAAGGAAAATGTTGTACTTTGTACTAAAATGCTTCCTTCAGCCTCTATTTCTAATGAGGAAGAGGGTAACTTTTAAAGGACTGGACCAGAAGGACATTTTAAATGTTGCTACATGCTTCATTTGTATCTTCCATTATTAATGTAACTAATGTTACCACTGCCATTAACCCAGAGAATATTAAACACTAAGGCCTGCAGTGAAGTCATCAAACTCACTGTTGTGTTTGAAGATTCGAATGGTTGCTCCTGAGAGTCTGGCTCCTAGAACCAGCGATGCGTGGTTCAGCTCATCACTCAGAATCAGGCAACCCTGCAAAACCACCAGCACAGAAAGGTCAGAAGCTAGGGGGAACGCCTTACTTACACAAATGACAAAATGCTAAAATCATTAATAATGCTATTTTATTAAGGAAAGCTTATGCAACAGCAAAATTATGAATTTCAAGGAGAAAGGTATACATATTCTTGTTTTGCAAAATTAACTTGGAAGCAGATACAAAATTCTAGCCTTTCAATTTCTTCAGTCCCGTGACAGACTTAAATATTCAGATATGTAGAAAGAGGCTTTTATTTATACCTAAAATCTGATGTATCAGATAGTATTCGTAGGGTGTCAGTTTTGCTGGTTTGGTGGCATTCCATATGAGTTTTGGTATGATGTACTACTATTCATGGTTAAAGGTAGGGGACAAGGGCGCTGAGGGAGTAAAGCATTCTTCTTCTCACTCCTAATAATACCTCCCAAATCAATGAGGATTCCACTTACTAATACTCTCCCCACTGACATGAAGTGTAGGCCTCAATTTTGCCTTTAAAATCCCTCAATAAGCTCTACTTTAATATATAAACATGAGTTTCTCCTAAGGCAACAAGAAAAGGCTGAGGTTCTCAGGGATTTTATTTCATCCCAGGTTCCTACGCTTCCACAGATCAAGCCCTTCAACCCATTAAGATCTGAACTCAGCAACAGGTTTTTCTGTCAACAGTGTCCTCAAAACACCCAATTAGATTTTAAGAGTAAGTTGCAGAAAGTATCAGCATGTTCTCAGGAGAACAAAAGAAAGAAGACAGATACACACACACACACACCCACACCCACACACCGATTTTAACAAAATATTCTTAGAGGAATACTTAAATTTTAATAGCAGATGTCTAATTTTTACTGTGAGCCAAATTTTTATTATATTATTAATTAAAGATTTTATTTATTTATTTGACAGAGAAAGACAGTGAGAGAGGGAACATAAGCAGGGGGAGTGCGAGAGGGAGTAGCAGGCTTCCTGCTGAGCAGGGAGCCCAATGTGGGACTCGATCTAGTCCCTTGGGATAACCAGAGCTGAAGGCAGACCCTTAACTACTGAGCCACCCAGGCGCCCCCAAAGCTTTTATTATTAAAATAAAGAGCTACTTCGTTAAAAATGTGTGCATTAAAAAGAAGTAGAGTTGGAGGTAGCAGTATGGGCTGATGGGTTTTAAAATGTGTATGTAGGGCGCCTGGGTGGCTCAGTGGGTTAAGCCGCTGCCTTCGGCTCGGGTCATGATCTCAGGGTCCTGGGATCAAGTCCCGCATCGGGCTCTCTGCTCAGCGGGGAGCCTGCTTCCCTCTCTCTCTCTCTGCCTGCCTCTCTGTCTACTTGTGATCTCTCTCTGTCAAATCAATAAATAAAATCTTCAAAAAAAAAATAAAATAAAATGTGTATGTAATGTATACACATGCATGCAGTATATACATGAGTTAGCATATATGCAGATATTTTTCTAGCTCTATGCACTGAGGGACAAGGAGCAGTGACACCCAAGTGGCCATAAACACAACAGACCTTGATTTCTAAATACCATCCTCCAGTAAAAAAAAAAAAAAAAAAAAAACTAGGGCTGAAAGGAGAACTGGTTGATCCCAAAACTAAAATAGGTTTTGAAAAAAAAAAAAGAAAGAAGGAAAAAAAAAAAAAAGCCCAGAGCCTCTTGTCCTGCTGAATTAAGAAAGTGCTCTTTGGGGTGGGGTGGGGGTGGGTGGGTGGTGGTAGGATCATCGCATAGTCAAATGGCACGGGAGCCCACATGAAAGATTTCCCAAAGGCCAAAACTGGAACAACTTCAGCAACAAAATAAAGGGCACCGTGTTGGACCCAAATAATAAAATATTCACGAATCTCTACTAATATAAATGAATAGGGGAGATGCAACAATTCTGCCTTCGGAATAGTCAAGATAATGAAAGACAAGGAAAGACAGGAACTGTCACACACTAGACACTGAGGAGATCCCATGAAGATCAACAGAAAATGGTACTGGTAGAAAAACCTGGTGAAATTGAAGTAAGTTCTGTACTTCAGTTAATTGTATTGTATCAAGCTTAGTTTTGGGGTTTGATAAATTCCACTGTTGTATAAGATATTAACATAAAAGGAAGCTTACTGAAGGGTATACATGAACTCTGTATTCTTTTACAACTCTTCTGTAATGCTAAATTAATCTTTGAAAAAAGTGTTAAAAATGAAAAAAAAAAAAGGCGAGGAGGGTGCAGAAAATGAAGAGATACTGAATTTCTCTTCTGCAAATCTTCAAACCCTTTACTTAACCACTCCTGGCATTCCATTATACCTTAAAAGGATGCCCCTCCTTCCCCTCCATACAATTTTATTTTCTTCTCTGTCCTGCTCACTTTTTTTCTGACAAAATCTGCAATATAACTTGCTATGTGCCTCCTTTTTAGACAGCCTTATTCACCATTTCAATGTATCAATCTACTATGAGGCTCTATTATATCCTTAGTTCAAAAATAAAATAAAAATTAAATGTCAGCAGTTAAAAGCTAAGTGCTTAATATGTTCCAGGCATTAGGTTAAGGGTTTTAAAGGCATTATTACTTTTAATCCCCATTAAAAAAAAATCTATGAAGCAGGTACTATTATTATCCCCACATTACATAAGAGGAAACTCCCTTTTAGAGGAGTTACAGATCTTGCTCAAGGTCACAAGCCTAGTGAGTGACTCATTAGAAAGCTTCTGCTTCCAGAACACATGCTCTTAATCTATAATATACTGCCTCTGCCTGCCTCTAAACTGAAAAATCAACCACCTCACATAGAAACTTAGTATCAGATTCAAAGAAATATTAAAACTGGATTAGTTCCTGCCTTTAATGGATTAAATGATACTTAGTAACATTTAACTGTAATGTTTGATTTGAACGATAAATCTTTAAGGTAGTATCTTCCAAGTCTGTATATAAGATCTCTAATTCTATGTGATTAGTTTCTGAACATTCCAGGAAAGAGCAGGATGAGATCATTTAACCCTCTAGTATGAAAAATTCTGAGAAATTCCAAATAAGAATCTCAAGATTTATACCACTCAAATGCAGGACAGGAATGTATTATAATCAATGTGAAGTCAAAGAACCATACATTTATGTCTTTTGAGGTATCTGTCCATTGTATCTAAGTTGTTGAATTTACCAGCATAAAGCTGTTCTTAATATATCCTTGTTATCCTTTTAATGTCTGTAGGATCTGTAGAATGATGTACTCTTTCTCATTCCTGCTACTGGTAATTTGTATCTTCTCTATTTTTTATCCTTACCAGTCTGGCCAGAGATTTATCGATTTTATTCATTTTCTCAAAGAACTACCTTTGGGGGGCACCTCAGTGGCTTAGTTGGTTTGCCTTTGGCTCGGGTTATGATCCCAGGGTCATGGAATCGAGCCCTGGGACTGGCTCCCTGCTCAGGGGAGAGCCTGTTTCTCCCTCTCTCTGTGTCTCTCAAATAAATAAATAAAATCTTTAAAAAAAAAAAAAAGGAACCACCTTTGCTTTCACTCATTTTTCCTAATTCATTGATTTCCGGATTTAGCTTTATTTTATCCTTCCTCTATTTGAAATCTTTGGGTTTAATCTGCTGTTCTTTTTTGAAGTCCATATGTAGATGGCAGATTCAAAACTTTTTTTCTTTTCTTACTACAAGTCCTTAAAGCTATATATTCCATTTGAGTATGGCTTTAGCTTCATCTCACACACTGTAACATGCTACACTTCTATTTAGCTCAAAGTATTTTCTATTTTTCCTTTTTTCTTTGACTTATGGATTATTTGGAAGTATGTTGTTTAATTTTCAAATATTTGAGGATTTTCAGATATCTTTGTGTTACTGATTTCTAATTTAATTCTATTATGATCAGAGAACACACTGTGAACAATTTAAATTTTTAAAAATTTGGGGCGCCTCGGTGGATCAGTGGGTTAAAGCCTCTGCCTTCAGCCCGCATCGGGCTCTCTGCTCAGCTGGGAGTCTGCTTCCCTTCCTCTCTCTGCCTGCCTCTCTGCCTGCTTGTGATCTCTGTCTGTTAAATAAATAAATAAAATCTTTTAATTAAAAAAAAATTTTTTTTTTAATTTGTTGAGGCTTTTTTAATGGTCCAGAAAATGGTCTATCTTGGTAAATGTTTTGCTGTTGTTAGGTGAAGTGCTTCATAAATGTCAATTAAGTGAAGTTGGTTGGTAGTATTTTTCAAGTGTTCCATAACCTTACTGAATTTCTGTCTAGTTCTTCTATCAATTATTCAGAGAGAGGAATGGAAACCTCTAATAAAAATTATGTATTTTGCCCATTTCTCCTTTCAACTTCTTCCAATTTTTCCTTCATGTACTTTGAAGCTCTATTATTAGGTACCTATACATTTAAAATTGTTATGTCTTGGGGCACCTGAGTGGCTCAGTGGGTTAAAGCCTCTGCCTTCGGCTCAGGTCATGACCCCAGAGTCCTGGGATCAAGCCCCGCATTAGGCTCTCTGCTCGGCGGGGAGCCTGCTTCCCCTGCACCGCCCCCCCTGCCTCTCTGCCTACTTGTGATCTCTCTCTGTCAAATAAATAAATACAATCTTTAAAAAATAAAAATAAATAAATAATAAATAAAATCACTATGTCTTTTAAGGGCACCTGGGAGGCTCAGTCAGTTAAGCATCCAACTCTTGATTTCAGCTCAGGTCTGGTCTCAGGGTCATGGCACTAAGCCCCATGTCGGGTTCCGCACTTGGTGCAAAGTCTGCTTGAGAATCTCTCTCTCTCTCTGCCCCTCCTGACCCCCCAATTTGTGCACTTGTGTGTGTGTGCCCACATTTTCTCTAAAAAATAAAATAAAAAATAAAACAAAAACCTTCAGGGCCCTTTCAAGCTGAGAGTGCCAACCTCCTAAAATGTGACTTACAAAGTCTCTTATCTCTTCTCTCCTTAACTACCGCCTTACAAACTCTACCCACACACAAACTTTTATTACTATTATTACTATTACTTTTAATCTTCATTATTATTTACTTATATTATTACTTTTAACCTGTATCATTACATGTATTTTACATATATACACATATTTTGCCCATGTATCTCCGAGCAACATGCATTATGATAAGAACAAGTATTAGGGTACCCATGTATTTTCATATGTTAAGTAACCTTCCAATTTAAACATTCTTCCTTTTAAAATTTTAGCCTTTTATGAGGTTTTTTTATTTCTTAGAATCCTTTCAAAACTGTATGAAATGAAGAAGGCAAGCGTCATCTAATGGAAGAGAAAGAATCATGGGTTCTAGCAAGAAAGCTTCAACTGAGAAAGTCTCCTTGGGATATACTTATCGAAAATTTGTGACAGAAATATCTTTGGGTAGACCATGTGTAGTCTGAAGTTTACAACAGCCTTGGGCTTGCTGTGAATGCTTTACAAAACAAAACAAAATATGCAAGAGCATTTTCATAAACGACAGCCTAAGTCTTACTTTGCCAACAAGAGCAGGAATGTTCATTGAATTTGTTGCAAATCCCATGCCATATGCCATAGCGGCTTCTACGCCCAAGAAACTTGCCACAAGCTTTTCTAGCTCTTCATGCTTGTCCAGGTTTCCTGCATAGAGAAGTTAATGAAGTTAATACCACTAAATCCCAAATTTAAGAACCACTCATTACTTTATAAAAAGAAATCATAGGCTACATGGGACGACCTTTTCAGACTAAGCTCCATGGGAGAGTATTATGAAGAGAAAGGGCTGATCAAGGACACCGCAGCTGAACACATTCAGATTCGCCACCTGGGATGGAATTCCTGTTAAGAAAGTTGCCAACAATTTCTCCCATCCCTTCTGACACATGCCAGTTCCAATCTAAGCCTTAAGAGCCTTGCAACATCTGCTTTTACACTTTTGGAGTCAGCTACCATGTAAAATAGTCTAACTAGCTGTTGTAAAGAGAGGCCACATGGAGGGGGAGAGGCTCTGGAGGACAAGAGACTATATGGAAGTGGAATGCAGGGCTCAGCGAGGCCTCACGTCATCCCACTACCTGGCTGAGGTGCCAAACAAGTGAAGCCGTCCTGGATGCTCTGTCTTTGTCCAGAATGCCCCGCCCATACCACGTGGAGTCAAGATAAATGCCAAGCCCTCCCCAAATTGCGGCATCACAAGCAAATAAATGTTTTCTGTTTTAAGTCACTAAGTTTTAGAATGATTTGTTATGTAGCAAAAGACAAGCTAAAAAGCATCCCCCCTCACTTTGTACTGTGATTTTATATCAATACTCAAATCCTTAAGGACCAAACAAGACTGATCAATGATACTGGCTAAATTCAGAAAAGAGGATGAGAAAAAAGACGGCTGAACTAGGATGCTACATGTTCTCAAAGCTTTAATCAAGTCATTTAACCTCTCTGGGCTTCAGTTTCTGCTAAATACCAGTAACAATATTTGCTCTGTCTACCTCATGATACTGTTGTGAGGATCAAAAGAGAGAATAGGTTCAAGCAATTTTTAAAGTATACAGTGCCATAAAGATGTAAGGTCTGACTACTATATGTCATCACGGCACAATGCTCCTTAGCCACATCATTAAGGACCCTGAGTGGAAATGACCCAGCTACATTTGCCAGTCTTTGGACCCACAAGAAATAATGAGGAATTATTGTTTTAATCCACTAAGTTCTGGGGTGATTCCCAGTAACAAATATCCTGGAAGCTGCCTTATAATTTCTGTAGTTTTTAGATCTCTCAAACAAAATCGAAGAATTTGAAATCTTCCTATGAACAAAAATTAATTCTCTTGAGGGGCTCCTGGGTAGCTTAGTTGGTTAAATGCCTGCCTTTGGCTCAGGTCACGATCCCGGGGTCCTAGGTTCAACCCCCGCATCTGGCTCCCTGCTCAACCTGCTTCTCTCTCTGCACTTGCACTATCTCAAATAAATGAACAAAATCTTTAAAAAAAAATTAACTATCTTTACATAAATCTGTTCACCTTTACATTTTATAGATTTACACTAGTAATAAAAATAGTTAACATTTACTGAGTGTTTACCATGTCACAAGCACTTTACATGAATTAGCTGATTTAATTCTTCAAACAGTCCTATAAGATAGGAATTATTTTCAGTCTCCAATTACCGGTATGGAAACACATTAACCCTCATACGTCCATGAGGTCAGTACTAGTAAGTGGCACCCTTAACCACTATCATTTGTAAAAGCCAACAAAGTCAACATTAAAGTTATAAGTGAATCAAATGTTTATGGAATCTTTCTAGACCCACTTTATTATACAATGGAAAAGGTAAATATGTCTCAAAATGTGTTGAAAGCTTTAAAATCATCCATTACTTCAGAAACTATATGGCAAAGTACGTATTTGGATGCTTACTATTCTACCTCTGTACCAGCATTACTCCCTCCTGAGTAGCACAGTGGAGAACATCAGCTGGTCAAACAGAGCCTGCGCTTACCGATTTCCTGCCGAGTGCTACACACTCCGACTCCATACTCCTCTAAGACTTTGGCAGCTGCTTCTTGACATGATCCTGTATTCCGTGCAAAGCCAAGATAGTTGTAGGAACCCATGTTTATAACGCCTTTAATTATATTCCCTGTGTACCTGTATTTCAATAGCATAAAAGTTCATGAAACTCATGAGCAAATCAAACACTTACATGTGATAATAAACATATTGGTAATACAAAAGGAAGCACAATATATAGGAAATAAGGAGATTACGGCCTCAGTGACAAGCAACTCAAACTCACTACCAATTAAGAAATGAAAATTAAAATACTAATTTTTGCTTATCAATAATGATAAAGATTTAAAGAATGACCATATCCATGTTAGCCAGGATAGTCTCCATACACTGTAGTTAAGAATATCAGCCAGTACTTTTCTTTTTTTTTGGAAGGCAGTTTGGCAGTACTTATCCATTTAAAAAATATACACACACTTTAACTCAGCAATTTCCACACACATATGAAAAAATACATGCATAAAGATCCTTTAAGAGTCACTACACAATGGGGCACCTGGGTGGCTCAGTCAGTTTAGCATTCGACTCTTGAGTTTTGGCTCAGGTCATGACCTCAGGGTGGTGGGACCAAGCCCTGAGTTGGGCTCTGTACTCAGCAGGGAGTCTGTTTGAGATTCTCTCCTTCTCTCTCTGTGCCTCAACTAAACCCCCCCCACCGAACCTTGTGCCCTCTCTCTTAAATAAATAAAGTAAAATCCTTAAAAAAAAAAAAAAAAAGTCACTACACAATTTATCTGCCACGTCCCTTCCCAGGCACACAGACCAGTGACATCCCACATTGGAAGCTCCAACAGCCTGGGCCCACAAGTGAGAACAACATGGTTTAGAGGCTCCACCAGCCTAAGGCAGACACAGAGTATGAACAAGAAATAAACCGTTCTGTTTGATCTCTGAGATTTTGAGGTTTTTAACCAAGGATGATGCAGCCCAACCTCTATTACTATGTGCGGCTATACTCTGGGGTAATCAGTGGCCATTACTAATAATGAACTTGCTGTGAATACAGATTACCAGCATGTTAGCAAGTAAAAAAGCAAGACATAAAATGATTTCTGTAATATGATCCCATTTTTATAAATCAAAAACTACCTGTATGTCACTTCAGATTCACTACATACATGCCCCACAAAAAACATCTGGAGGACTCCTACACAACAAACGGGTAACAGTGGTCACCTCTGGGGAGTGAAGACTTGTGGAGAAGTGGGTTTGCAGAACGGAAGTGGTTAGTTGTCATGGGGGAACACTTCATTTATCTGTATTATTTGTCTTAAAAAAAAAAAAAACAATGCAACCATGTAATACTTGTGCAATCTAAACTATAAAATTTTATGAATATGAAAAGTTTTCCAAACTATTCAATCTATTTAAGCAAAAGCATTTCATATGTCCTTCAATCATTTGAGGACTCAAAATATCCAGAAGTAAATTCAGACACTTGATTCTGGTAAGTGGTGTAATAGGACACCACTGTTTATTATTGTTGTTTTTTCTTTCTAGTAAATCAAATTTTGTTTTCAATTATAACCCAACACAGTATCAAATGTAATAGAAAAATGCATTTTAAAAATCCAGATAACAAAAAAAATCTGGTAACAACGAACAATATGCAAGGAAACGAGGTGTGTTGTACTGTACTATCAGCTTCTACTCGCTTTAACAGATTACTCAATTTGCAAGAGGATGCATTCTAAAGTGAAGAAATTCTTTTTTTCTTGCTGTCAAGAAATAATTTCCCAACTGAGACTCACTTGAAGGACCAGTTGTAATCATGAGACTGCCTCTCCATGATGTCCACCCTGGCTCCGGGCACACTGCAGATCGGCCGGTTCCAGTTGTCTCTAATCCTCATGTAGAGGTTCCTTGTATAGAAGTTTTCGAAATCCTGATACAATGACACAAAGTCCTGCCAACAGATGGTGAAATACCATGAATTTAACTGAATTACTTTAGAAAATTTTTACAACCTCCCTTCCCATGTTGCAAGAGTGCTTGAGAATGAGAGGTCAATTACACTGAATTAACTGATAAGGAAAACATTTGCAAAGGCATCAATTCTCTACGTTTAAACAACTTTAAAACAACTCTGGGAACATCTGACTGGCTCCATCAGTAAGAGCATGCAACTCTTGATCTCAGGATCATGAGTTCAAGCCCCACAATGTGCACAGAGATTACTTTAAAAAAAAAAAAAGTAAAACAACTCTTAATCAGGTGAATGTCACTCAGCTCTGGTGGTTAACCTGTATGACATGTTGTAAATAACTATCTGACTACATGAATATAAAGCCAAAGAATTTAACTCAATTAGTAGGCATCATAAAAATAAAACTTAGTTGTACAATTCTGTCATCTAAATGATTTTCCTTGCTAATAACCTCAAAAAGACTTCTCTTCTGCCTCCCAAGTCATATATTGGGAAATACCATTAAAAAACACTATAATTTCAGGTTCAAACAAGAAAAATACTTCTGAATTAAAATTCCAACCACTGCATATTTTTGAGGATGAAAGTGAAAAATCTCCAAAGAAAAATGATAAACAAGAAACACTTAAAGGTAGTTTATATAGAAAGATATCTATCTCAGGTTTCTTTCCCTGGATGGGATAAAAAAAAAAAAAAAGAGATTCTTAACGATGAATTCCCATGACCAGGTACTTAAAGCTCTCCCTTCCACTATGAAATAAGTTAAACTAAAAATTAAGTCTATAAAAAATAATCTGGGTGGAGCTAAAATGAATGCATAATGTCATGTCCCATGTGGTATGATCACTGCTCAGAACATGATCAGACCACATGAGATCAACTCAATTCCTGAAGATAAGGAGTAGACCAAACAAAAAGAAAACTATACTATAGTCCGCAAACTGCTGGACTTCCAGCCTTGAGATCCGGACTTACATTAAATAAGCTAATCAGAAACATTCAAGTTTAAGCCTTATTTTGTAACACCCATTGCTAAAGAAGACTCTTCATAAAATTTTATAATCAACAACTTTGTATGACATTGGGCTATAAAGTAATCAGCAGATAAAATCTTAAATTAAGCTGAGCAGAGTCAGAAAGTACTCTTAGGAATGTACAAGTACCTGATACCATCTCTTTCACAATTGTTTCCAACATTTACATTTCCTTAAGAGAAAATATCCATAGATAACCTATCACAATTGGAAACTTACTACTTAACTGGTATATCCGATAGTCTCCTCTTCCAACAAGAATACTGAGTGACTGAAAACTGGAACAAAGACATCCAAATTCTAATTTAGGACTTTTCCTTGGCTACTATTCACGTGCATTTATTTCCCAAAGGAAAAAGCAAAACGAAACCAAAATGTTGTTTTCAATCCTTTTCAATTCACACCAAATAGGGTAAACAGTACTAAACACTGTACATTAATGTCAAAAGTATTAACTCAAACACCTGAGAGAAATTCTCCATCACAAATTTTTATTAGCAACAAAGAGCACTATTTTTGTTTTTACTATATAAACATCACAAAACAGTTAAAAAGTCTGATCCCATCTACCAGAAGGCTTACCAAACCCCAGTATAGAAAGAAGGCTGCAGGCAGCTCTGGGTAACCAGTGACCTAGTGGTGTGTGGCTGGGAGGGGAGAGAGAAAGGCGTTCAAATCTCCGTAACAGAGACTGCCAACATCAGGGAGTTCACTGCTCATTGTCCATCCTTACAATAAGAGAACAACTAAGTCCTTGATTTGGGAACAAACTTGATGGGGAAGTTGCCACAGTGAGGGATGTTAGAGACCAAAGGCAGTTGGGACAGAATGGCAGAAGAGAACACCCATGCCCAGGGTAGCAGTCTGATTACAGCTGGAGAGTTTACTGGAGAGAGCTGAAAGACAGCTACCCAAACTCCCTACAACTTACCAATGAAGAATGGGAATGGAAAGGGATCACTATTCAGGGTTCTAGTTCTAGGCAACAAGGGTGAGTGCCTATTTCCAAATATATCTCATACAGGTTAAATATTCAAGGACCAGAGGACTTATCTCTTCATTCATTCATTCAAATACCTTTTACTGAATACTTCTGCCAGACAATTCTCTCTGCAAACTGTGACACCCCCACTACACCTGCCCTCACCCTCCCATCCTGTCCCCCATCCCACTCCGCATCCCCACCACCCCCTTCTTCCTCCTCAGTTCAGTCACTGTGAAATGACTTTAGTCAGGGCCGACCTAATACTTGTTTGCTTGGTCACTAAACAACCATTTATTGAGCTGTCCTTTCCAGGCACTAAGCCAGGCATTAGGGATAAAAATGAGTAAGACACAAACAACCTCCACACTCCCAAGATCTCTTAGTGGAGTAGACTGGAGTGGCACACAAAGGAAGGTGAAATACAGTGTCACAAGCACTCCAAAGGGACACTTGCCCAGACAAGAACTGGTAAGTGAGAGGCAATGGTAAGAATCAAGTGCAAAGAGCCTCCATGCCCTGTTTGAACTTGATGCACTCCTCATGCACATGCTTCCTCAAGACCTTTCAATAAACCCATATACTAGCAGATATCCATGATAAACAGAGAACAGTGTCTCCTCGAGGCTACACTCTGGATTGCTGGATGTGAAGAACCCTGGTAAGTGACTTCTACCAGTAGCCTAAGAGAAAACTTCAAATTCATGGACTGGTTCTTTCGGGATCATTGAAGACCTTCCCAAAAGTAGTATGGAGTCATCTTAGTAATTAGCTAATAAATATCTTCTATTGGTTGAGGTTGAGTCTTTTAGAAAACATCCTATACTATTTTAAGTAAATAGGTACCGCCTATTCTAGCCCCTGTGCAGGCCGTAAGAGCATAATGGAAAAGGCTGGGTACTAGCACTTCCAGAAGCTGACTTCATTGTAACAACTGCCCATGGTTGTTAAGAGCAATTCTGGCCCAACACAGATGTCCAAATATGAGGATAATAAAGACGATGCGAATCACAACGGCGGCCAGAGTTCCCATCTGAGTACTGAGGATACTTATGGTACATCTTCCATTACATACATTTGTTCTTAAATACCCCTGCACCCTCTTAAAAAAGATATTACTCCAATTTCAGAAAGATAAAATGGCTTTCCCAATTAGGGAACCAGACAGAGGCAGAGCTAGGAACTGATCCAGGTCTTTTCACTCCAAAGTCTATGCCCATACATTTCCATGGCACACAATTTTGTCTGAAAGGTTTATGTGTCGCAGCTTGTTGAGCTGCCTGACTCAACGATGTGCATCCCAATTTGCTTGGCCTAACATCTGATCACAAGAAATTCTACTTCGTCCGAGGGTGCTAAGATGCTTATGTATCTGGCAAAGATCAGGATGCTTCAAAACTCTCAACCACTGAAACTGAAGACAGGCAATGACATTTCAAAAGTAAAGACCGCTGTTTTCTTAGATCTAAAACTGAGTCATCTGTGTGTTCGTATGTGCATGTGTACACATACACACACAACCCTGACTATGAATACTTCAAAAGACTCAACACTTTTTTTTTTAATTTTTTAAATTTATTTTCAGTGTAACTGTATTCAGTTTTTGCACCACACCCAGTGCTCCATTCAATCTGTGCCCTCTCCAATACCCACCACCTGGTTCCCCCAACCTCCCACCCCCTGCCCCTTCAAAACCCTCAGATTGTTTTTTCAGAGTCCATAGTATCTCATGGTTCACCTCCCCTTCCAAGTTCCCTCAACTCCCTTCTCCTGTCTAACTCCCCTTGTCCTCCATGCTATTTGTTATGCTCCACAAATAAGTGAAACCATATGATAATTGACTCTCTCTGCTTGACTTATTTCACTCAGCATAATCTCTTCCAGTCCCATCCATGTTGCTACAAAAGTTGGGTATTCATCCTTTCTGATGGAGGCACAATACTCCATAGTGTATATGGACCACATCTTCCTTATCCATTTGTCCGTTGAAGGGCATCTTGGTTCTTTCCACAGTTTGGCGACCGTGGCCATTGCTGCTATAAACACTGGGGTACAGATGGCCCTTCTTTTCACTACATCTGTATCTTTGGGGTAAATACCCAGTAGTGCAATTGCAGGGTCATAGGGAAGCTCTATGTTTAATTTCTTGAGGAATCTCCACACTGTTCTCCAAAGTGGCTGCACCAACTTGCATTCCTACCAACAGTGGAAGAGGGTTCCCCTTTCTCCACATCCCCTCCAACACATGTTTCCTGTCTTGCTAATTTTGGCCTTTCTAACTGGTGTAAGGTGGTATCTCAATGTGGTTTTAATTTGAATCTCCCTGATGGCTAGTGATGATGAACATTTTTTCATGTGTCTGTTAGCCATTTGTATGTCTTCATTGGAGAAGTGTCTGTTCATATCTTCTGCCCATTTTTTTATATTATTGTCCGTTTTGTGTGTGTTGAGTTTGAGTTCTTTATAGATCCTGGATATCAACCTTTTGTCTGTACTGTCATTTGCGAATATCTTCTCCCATTCCGTGGGTTGCTTCTTTGTTTTGTTGACTGTTTCCTTTGCTGTGCAGAAGCTTTTGATTTTGATGAAGTCCCAAAAGTTCATTTTCGCTTTTGTTTCCTTTGCCTTTGGAGACATATCTTGAAAGAAGTTGCTGTGGCTGATATCGAAGAGGTTACTGCCTATATTCTCCTCTAGGATTCTGATGGACTCCTGTCTCACGTTGAGGTCTTTTATCCATTTTGAGTTTATCTTTGTGTATGGTGTAAGAGAATGGTCGAGTTTCATTCTTCTACATACAGCTGTACAGTTTTCCCAGCACCATTTATTGAAGAGACTGTCTTTTTTCCACTGTATATTTTTTCCTGTTTTGTCGAAGATTATTTGACCATAGAGTTGAGGGTCCATATCTGGGCTCTCTACTCTGTTCCACTGGTCTATGTAAGACTCAACACTTTTCACTG